ACGAAAAAAAAGTTTTTTCAAAACGTTCCATTTGATATTCAATATTTTATTATGTGCAAGTATGTCTGACAAGAGATGTAATTCTGAATTTCCATTGCCACTCACGTTTGTTAAATAAAATTCAATTAAATAACAAGAGTTTTAGTATAAAAAGTGAGTTTAACACGAAATTAAATATTATTACAAATTTGTATAAATGTTACACGAAATTTTTTTTCTCTCATTTTATCTAGAGGAAATCTAAAAATTCTCTTAAAATTAAACTCCTGGTTTTCTTTTCATTTTTCTCATACATTTAATCACTAGCCTCACACACATAAATATGTATATAAATACATATATGTACATATTCAATACATATATATGTATATATATTCGATAGGATTATTTGATCGTTTTGGCGGATGTAGCAACGGGAGCAGAACGACGACGAAGAAGGAAAAATGCGGACAGTCGGATATGTAGGGCCGAACCTCGGGAAACCAAATGTTTGCGGACAAATCGTCGTCGTTTTCGACGAGGAAAATCAACAAACGTCCCTCGTTCGGTTCTAATGCATTCGCCCGGGATGAAAATCGTTCCGCACGCGCGGGCTCTCGATCCCGATCCGAGAGGATTTCCTCCCTCGTCTCCTCGATTGGCAAAGGGAAGCAGGGGGGGGGGAGAGAAGGGAGAGAGAGAGAGAAAACTGTGCAGCATAAAAAAAACTCGGCTGTTTTTCATCGGCTGTTTTTCGCGAAGTTTTATACTCGGGGAGATCCTAATAACTTCGTGAACGAAGTTATTAACGCGAATCTTGCGCGATAGAAAATTCTATATAGGTATTAAAAAATAAAATTGCGCACTTCTATCACAGGTTCTCTTTGCGAGTTTAAAGGCGATTTTGTAAATAAGAAGATAGAGATTACGGAAAGAGATAGAGATTAAAAAACTAATTAGAGAAAAATGGAAAAGAAAGAGAGAAAGAGAGAGAGAGAGAGAGAAAGAGAGAGAGAGAGAGAGAGAGAGAGAGATGTTAATTAAGTTTCGTCAATTTTGTTATTTTTCTTAACTTAATTAACGTCTATCCGATAAATGTTGCTCTTCATTTTTTAATCGCAAAAAAGTGTGATTCAGAATTTTAGTATCCGATATTTCGTTTGAAAGTTAATATTTTCATCTGCGATAAATCCTACGGTACTCGGAGATATTGCGTGCGGTTTTTATTCAGATTATTGAATCCATTCTGGCGTGGAGAAAAGGTCTCTCGCCGACTGATATTACAGCTTTGTCTAGCGGCTTCTCCCGTTTCCTTGATTTCTTGCAACCGGTTATTTACATTTTACGTTAAGGTATTTTGTAACTTTGAAATTAAAGTGGAAGACTCGACAAAACGCGCAGTTGTGTTTGCCGTGTGCTAATTAAACACGTTAACACTTTATTCTCTATATATAATTCACAATTTTAGAAATAAACATAGTAAATATAAATTGCATATACGCTATTTATATACGCGCGCGTGTGTATGTGTGCGTGTATATGCGTGTGCGTGCGTACGTAATGAAAAAGTTGTTCAAAAATTTTTTAAATCCAATTTATTATAACTGCTCGACAAAACATGCATTTTTCTCGGCAAAAACAGAACTTAACACGTTTCAGATCGAGCCTATTTTCGTCTCATCTCTTACGGCAAATAAATTCCATCGTCGATATGGTAGCGCGGATATATATCCGCGTATCGCATCGTCTCACCCGGTACACACTTGGCAGGCTTATGGGCTTTTCAATTTCGTTCTTCGCCGAGTGCGTTCCATACGGCGGCATGCGATAGCTATTGCGGTGAACTCTTTCCACGTGCACGTCCGTTGAAATTTTCCGAGACGGCATTTCGAAGGCCATTATGGCTTTCCCATTTCTTGAATGATATCCCGGACGAAAGCGCAACGGCGCGATAGAATGGCTAACGCTGCCCGTGCGAAATGGCAAAATAATTGGCCGAATGCATACACAAGTCCCGACGCATCTCAGAAATATATCACGGAGATGCGAGTTGCACACGTTTCGCTACAAGTGCAGTTTACTTCGCTCTCTTGCTTTATTTCTTTTTGTTCTTAACTCTTGCTCTGCTTACGAAGAAACACATTAATACAGAAATATAATTTTAAATTATATTATCGCGAGAGAGAGAGAGAGAGAGAGATTTTATTAATTTTATTAATTTTTTAACATAATACTATAATTCTTTAATACAATGAGAAAAAAATTACTGCTTGCTCAGCGATTTGCCATATCGCATAAAAATTGAATATTAAAAATACAAGAAATTTATTTATTTATTTTTTTTTATATTTAAATTGAACTCTTTTAATAATACAAAGAGAATGTATAATTGTAAGAAACCATTTTCACGCAAACCTGTGAAAATTTCATGCAAATTTCAAGTTTCAGAATCTGTCGTTCGGAATCTGTGTAATATCTTCGTTTATATTATATATGTCTCTCTTATACGTCTCGACTGCAAGACACTCAAGAAACTCGATAGCCGCAATGGCTCAATGCTAAATTGAGAAAGTTTCGTAAAGTTTAATACTCTATATACCCCGCAGGGCTAGTCAACAATAATTCTCTTGCTATATCCACAAAATATGTCAAAATAGTAATAGTTTCTTTAAATCATAAAGTCTTTGAAACTTGTATGGTTTATTGCATGTGTGTAATAAGTAACTTCTTGGAATATTTATAACAAGAAACGATGGTATATCTAAAGACATATATGATATACTCTCTCTCTCTCTCTGTGTGTGTGTATGTGTAAATGTACTAAACACTACGAGGTAAACGATGTAACTCAAGGACGGGAATGGTGACAAAGTTTCTTAATAAACGTTGACGTCGACACCGCGTGTGGCAATTCCTTAAGTCGATGGAGAAGCCTGGTTTTATGAACTGACTAACGGATTAGGAACGAACGAACTCGGGGATTAATTAAGCTCTGCAGAAATGCATCAATCGCGTTAAAAACAGACTTTGGCTGATTTTTGACGAATTTGATCTTATATGTAGAGATAATATGCGTCACATTTATTTTTATACATTTTGAATATAAACACAATATATAAAACCATATTTATTATATATAAAGTATTTATTATAAATATTATATATTAAATTAGTATTATTATATATATGTATTATATATTGTTATAAAAATTACATATTAAAATAGTTTTATTATATATAAAATATTTTTATATTAATAAAATTATTATATAAAAAATGTATATATTACATACATAAATAAATATAATATAAAATATACAAATAAAATATAATTAAATAAAGTATTTTAAAGTAACATTTTAAATTCGTGTGCGTAAGGTATATATTTTCTTTATATAAAAAAAATATATATATATATACATATACATATATATATATTTATATAATAAGTAATGAAAACAATTCGATATAATATTATATTTTATATTAATATCATTAGTTCTTTGTCGTATGAAAGATACCGAGAAAAAAAAAATCTGCCCCCAGAGAGATTTGAACTCTCGACCCCTGGTTTACAAGACCAGTGCTCTAACCCCTGAGCTATGGAGGCTTCTTGGAGAGACCTCCTTTAGAATAGTAAATGTGCTGCACTAACTTCATCATACATAATGTATCGAATTCAAATATTTTAATATTGATAGAAAATTTCATCCTTTTTTTTCGTTTCACAAAATAGAACTGTTAACTTAACAAAATACGAGAAATTTTTCCGTTCAAATTATTAACACGAAGATATTTTGAATTTTATTTGTAGAACGCGTTTCTTCCGCGTTACTATAATAAACGTTGTAATCTAATATTAATAACAATTAAGAAACGTATAATATATGCAAAAGTATTCGCAAAAAACGGTTACTACTATCTCTTACATTTTTCGCCAAGCAAGCACTGGAGAAAGATGAAAGACAGCCCGTCATAATGCAGACGGTTTTATGTAAACGAGCCGCTATACCTTTTGCATACCGTAAGGAGCGCATCCTCAAGTGCGACGGTCGGGCGAGAAAATCCGCCTTGTAAAATCGTTTTCTCGAGTAAATTTTAAGGGTAGGGCAAAGATGAAGTAAAGTTTTACGACATCTTGTGCGTCACCTCGGTGCGGTTTGAACAAAAACGTCTTTATTGTTATTAGCGTGTATTAAACAGTAAATCAAATCATGATTTGCTGCGACTTCAAACTTTAACTCAAGCTCAGCTTGTTCGAAAAAATCGAACAGCAGTTGATTTCTTATTATATTATAGATACTTTTTCAATTTTTTCTTTTTTTACGAACTTAAAGACGAAGAGAGTCCTCACACATAAGACAAAGCTTTCGCATAGTTTTCGCAACCTAATTTTTGGCGATGTAACTTTTTTTTTGCACGACTTTCCGTGGAAGATCCTTTCTGTAAAAAATGTGAAATGGAATATTACTCGATAATAACGACTAACTAACTTGTTTCGTAATTAAAAACTTTTAGCCGCCGAAAATTGAGACACAGGCGGGAAGACTAACGAACCACGACCAGAGATTAATTAAGTTCTGACAAAGCTAATTGAGAGCGAATCGTCGTCGAAATGCCGTTCGTCGATTTGCGAAAATCGTGTGCGCAAAAGCGCGCTAATTTGATCAACAAGTGCACAGCAACGACATGTATTACAAAACCACGTGAAAAAAAAAAAAACGCGATTGTTTTAAAACTGCGACAATACATTTATATTTTATGAAAAAAAAAACAAAAAAAAAAAAAATAAGAGCAAAACAAATGCGGCAGCTTTTAGCAGCAGCTGGAGATGAAAGCATTTGTTTTGCGTTATAAGCGCGTAGACAAACACGTTTTGAGTAATCCCTCGCTTTCACTACACACAGAGCTTTGTTGTTTCGGCTTGAAAATTCGTCTTTTATGATTTCCGTCGCGACAAATGACACAATCCAATTTTCGTCTCTCAACATATTTTTTAAATTACACGGTAATTATAGATTTACGTAAATAAATCCTCTTAATACTTACAAAACAACAGCGCACAATTATATCATCGACATCCGTTTATCTTGAAAAAAAAAAAAAATTACAAAGGATTGCGAGTACATTTTTTGTCGTACATTGAGAGAGAGAGGGATTTTCTCCCCATTATCTCTCGAATTCTAGTATTACAATTCAAGAATTAGATTCTCCGGTTAGCTATCTCTACACGCGCGCGCACACACACACACACACACACACACAGTTCAAGTACTATTGTCCTTAAGCGATTGTCTCACAGGACAAGCGTTCCGGTCCATCCAATCCTATTATCTACGTGCCTATTGTCCATATTCCATAGTTAATATTATCTGTCGTTTCTTGCTCAACGTTGGACGTTCGCTACAACGTAAAATGAACGATCTACAATTATCCAGGCGCAATTTGTTATGTGCGAAGAAAATAGGCATCGCGTAACGATCGCGCGAGCGTGGCGTATTCAAGGACGTGCGCAGCAGGCATTGCACAAAATGCAAATACGATTTTGTCGTTGATTACGCGCAAAGGACGGGAGTCAAAAAAAAATCTATCAGGATATAACGGGGAATATGATAAATGTGTCTTTCACTATATGTGTGTGTGTACGTGTGTGTGTGTGTGTGTGAACCGGATAAACTCGTCTCATTCGCTTTACGCAACGTGCTCACATAAGAGGGATTACGTCTCGAAAAATCATTATTTCTAGCTGCGCATGATAAAAGGGAGAAAGAACAGATTACCTGCCAGGGATATTTGTGTGTAGAAAAAAAAAAAAAAAAAAAAAAACTGTAATTTACGCTCGGTCGAAGCAAGAATCATTTGTTAAAATGTGTTCTTGATTAAATTTTTAGCAGAATCAGTTATTAAAAGATTTGATCGAGTAAAAGCGGTTCTTGCGAGCGCTCGATCCGGAAAACATCTCTGCGATAGAATAATGTTAGCAACAATAACTCGCTTCGACTTACAACGATAAATCGAACAGACGTCGAACAGAAAAATCTCGCGAGAGACGACGGATTGATTCGGCATCAAAAGTTGACGTAGTCCAGTTCGCGTTTGAGTCTCAGGGTGACTTCCAGGGTGGAAGTGTCGTTGTGCCACTTAGCGGAGGAAGCGTTCGGATCCACCGTATGCGGTGTCGGTAGGTGTAGCCGATATCTGGAGAAATCAGGATTAGTTTTACACGCGGAACAGATTTACGACCTCGTAAAATTGTCAAAGAAAGTACAGACGTTCTCCCGCCCGTACGTCGAAATCAACGCCGGCGGCGGACGCGCGCGCGCTTTGCTCTCTTTTCTTCTATCAAAGCAGGTTACCGCGATAAATTCTCCGTGGTCGTCTCACCTTGGACTGCGCACGTCAATCGCCTCGGATTCTACAGAGAGTTCTACTTTTTCCCGCGTTTCCTCCGGCAATTTTACCAGGACCGACAGCCACTCGCAGGACGCCGTGCTCGACGTTTTAAATCCCATCTAAATAACAATTCGTTTGTCTTCAGAGCTGTTTGCCATGAGATTTACACGTAATGTGTCGACGGTAAGAACAGTTTCGCTCCACGCGAGGATCCGGACTTGAGAAAGAACAACCAAGTTTCCGACACATGTTTGCGTGTTATCTTAGTCCTGATTTATTAGTCCTTTTCAACTACGATTTTACTATTTTTACAAAAAATAGCCACGGAATTGCAAAATTGTTTATCACAATATATAGTCGAAAAAAGATATAAAAATTATACACCAATTTTAATCTGTAGAAAGCCAGCATTTTTTTTCATTGAAATCTTAAACTTTTTTCGTGGAAAATTTATGCACATGTGTGACCTACACGTGTGTACCACACGGTTGTGAACAGTCTGTTGCTGGCTCACATGCACGGAAAAAAAAGATTTGTTAAAATAGCAAGAAATTAGTTAATATATGGCCAGCAAAAAAACATTTGTTAAGTTTATTAAAAGTTTTGTTTTGCCAACAAAACATTTCGTTGATGAAACAAAAAATTTCGTAGAGTCAACCATTTTTCTTGCTAACCATATAATAGCAAAACTTTTTTTTTCCGTGTGTGCGTCGCGATCGGTCCTCTAAAGGTTAAATTAAATTATTGGATTAATAAGCGACATTAAATACTGCTCTCCGCTTTCTAGCCCAATAAAATAATATCATTTTTGTTTTTTTTTAAACAGTTTTTCTTTGTAATAAAATTAAAATTGCAAATATCGAGACAGTTTGAAATATAAAGTCTTCTCGCTTCAACTTTATGTTTTATCATAAAAATAATAAAAGGATGTAAAAAAAATCTTACTCCCAGATAAATATCTTCCGCCGTTACTGATTGTTTAAACTTCATCTCGTATTCGGGCACATTTCGAGAATCGTAATCCTGCACACTTGAAATGTCAGTCGCTTCAGCAGGATGCCAAATATCGTCATTCGCACCTTGAAGCGGCGCGTACGGTCCTGAATGATCTTCAGAAGAATCAGTCGTAACATCAATATCACCCGGTCCTTAAAGTAAACAATTTATTTTGTCAATAATTGTGTGATAATAAAAAATTGATTTTGTAAAACACGAGTAGCATCGTCTCATTCTTTTCTTTTGGCAACTGCTGTTTTTATTAATCGTATTTTATTAATTTCTCTTTAAATCGGCAAATTTCGCAAAAATGAGAAATAGTTCATAAATATTGAATCGCAATTCTTTGCGAAGCAACACGTAGCGAATAAAGTTGCGAACGCGCGCAACGAAATACGAAGTTATTACACTTGTTTGTCGTACATACGTACATACGCCAGTTAATTACGATTTTCGTTTCTTTTTTACTCGGCCAAATAATAAATATGTTGAACAACGAGCGTTACGAACAAACCACGCAACAACCAAATTTTAACGAAAACCAGTTTGATTGAAATCCAAGTTTGATTTATAAATTGATTACGATTGTAAATTAGTTAGCGCGAGAATAGCCGAGAAGAAGCCGGAGCTGTTCTAACAACAAATTTTCCGACATTTCCATGACTCTGATCAGTTGTAAACAATCAATTGTTAAAACTCACCTAACTTTCTCGCGCCCATTTGCGGCAAATCGTCATCGACGTTTGTGTCGGAATCATTCTTCGGCGGGCAGATTAAATTTTGAAGCGCTTTTAAATCGGTCGAAGTGAAACAACCGTCCATCATGCAAACGCGCACAACTTGGGACTGTGGCAACTCCGCCAAACAAATTAACGTCACCATGGGGACAATCTCTCGCGATTTTCCGGCGATTCAATTCGTCAGACAGACATTGAGTCTAATTAACAAAATCATTCGGAAAAATCATTCGAAAATTTAAAAAAAATACACAATGACAAAAAAGACGTAAATATTTTACGAGCGCGAGCAGAGCCATAGAAAAGAAATAGTAATAAAAAAACTAAAATAATGTACAATAAAAGTGAAAGTAAATATGAAACTAAAATAATATTAAAAAATAATAATAATAAAAGAAAATAATATAGTTTAGGAGAAAAAATAGTTACCCGGTAAAAATTTTTCATGTATAAAATTGTATGGACATATTTGGTATATATAAATTTTCATAATTAGATATAATTATTTTAATTTGTGTATAAGTATATATAATTATATATCAAAAATTGTTTAAAAATATAGTAAAAATTAGTTTTATATAATTTTTTTGTATCTAACATGATACTAATAGAGTTATTTTGTAATTTGATATGAAATATCTCTGAAGCCATTTTCTTAAAAAAAGAAAGTCTCCGTGTATAAAATTGTATGGACATATTCGGCACATATAAATTTGCATAATTAGATATAATTATTTTAATTTGTGTATAAGTATATATGAAAAATTTTTTACCGGGTATTGTATTCAAGTTTTTGTGAAATTAAAAATTTGAATATTTAACGTCAAGAATGTCCGAGAGAGAATCCGCGTGATGTCTTACGTGATGTTTTTAGAAAACGATGCAGGGTGTTATTTAAAAATTTGCGTCAACTAGTCAAAAATATGCGTTTATTGATGCGAACATATGATCTGTTCCAATCGGCTGCACGGATCACGTGGATTTGCATCAACGAAACGTGGTAGCTGTTTAGCATCCTGGGATTTCAACCGTCTCTTCTTCAGTCCTGTTCAGTTTGATCAACGTGAGTCAACGTGCGGATAAGTGAGGAGAGGGGTGCGATAATTACACCGCACTCCATCCATACCGCAGCTGGCTGACAGGCACGTTGCTCGTAGTAGCAACATGTCGGATATGACGGATAAGAAGTTATCGAAAAAAAAAAAAAAAAAAATATCGAAGAAGTGAATAAAGTGTGTAATTTCAAACAAGATTGTCTGCGACGAACAATCCGACATAACCTAACCCTAACCTCTTCGAGCGAGACATGTTTTCTCTTGTTATTGTTGTTGCATCAGCCGTGTCGGTTGGATGTGCGTAGTTACGCTGTGGATATTTTTGGACATTTTCGGTGTTTTACACCGTTCTCTAGGTTGTTAGAAATAAGAGTAAAAGGAGAAGAAGTGAATGTGCCCGCAAAAATCGGCTAACGGTTATGGGCACGTTAAAATAATGACATAAAAAAACAAAAAAGACATGTTTTCTCGGTTCGTCGCGTTACACTCTCTCTCTCTGCGACGTGGTTCGCATTGGCCCGCGGTTTTTCGCAGATAGCGATATCTCGTAGAGAAATCTAGGCGTTATGTGGGTAAAGTCTAATTGCGATAATCGTGCGGCGATCATGCTCGGTACATTGACCAAAGTACCACGCGGTGTCATCCGCGCGCAACCGGTCTGGTGTGAACAACATGTCTGGAGACACGAGACAAAGTTACGTCAGACAGACCTACGTTGGTTCTTCATGAGGTGCGTAATGAATCGACGATACGAAATGTCGAATTGTTGGAAATGTTAAGAGAGATATTAATGTTAAGAAATGTTTTTGTTGCAGTGAGGAGAAAAAAGACGCCTCAAAGCTGAGCAGAAGGCCAAAGATAAAGCACTGAAGGAAAAGGCCAAAAAAGAGGAAGCATCTCAGGTCGAAACAACGTTCTCGAGAAAGAACGTAGTCAAAGATGAAGATATTAGATCCAAATGTAATGTATTACAACTTTGAAAGAGAAAGAAAAAAAAGAAAAAAATTTATATAGGAGATAACGCATTAGAATACTTTCGGTGGATTTTGTTTGCTTTACAATCATAAATTTTGCACAAATCTTGCAGAACAATAAAGTGTTTTTATTTTACAGACTTAAGAGGGTACTGGAGCCCGGCCTGTAAACTGGATAGAGACCTGTAAACCGATGTTTTAAAAACCTAAATTTCTCTAATTTTTAAGTTTCTTGACTGCATTACATAAAAAGTGCTTCTATAGAAGCAAATACATATAAACAACTGTTTAGTGCTTTTGAAAATAGATATATAATGCCTTTTGAAACTCTTTTTTTTTATTCATAATGATAGCATATGATAACCTATACTGTCATCACACTAAGACGTTGTTCTCATCAATTAGTCATACCATAATCTGAATGTTTCATTAGATTCGTTTTTGTCGTATCTGTGGCGTACTTGTTCATTGTATAAATATGTACATAAACTTAGAAATAATTCTACTTACATGAATATATAGTGAGGTTATAGAAGAAAACTGTATAAGAAAAAATTTATGCTGAATTTTGACATTCCAAAGAACAAGCGCCAATCCTTAGCACAATTTACTTTTTTTTGTAGAAGCATTTTAAATTTAATGAAGTAAATACGACACCAAACGTCATAGGAGAAAGTCGGTTTACAGGTCTCTATAGTCGGTATCCAGTACCCTCTTAAATTAAGTTTTTTTAAATTCCAATTGGTCGTCCACTTCTTGTTCAAACTTGAAAGTGATATAAAAGAATTCTTGCGTAAACCTTTTCTTTGACTTATACTTTGATATTGTACAGAAAAAATCTGCTCACCGTTGATTTTTATTGTTTACAGGAATATTTTAAGATCCGGTCTAATTTTGTCAATCATCTTAGATCTATCGATGTTAATCCTTATCCCCATAAATTCCGTGTAACAATTTCTCTCCGAAACTTCATCGACAAGTATATCGATGTTGTGACTGACGGTGAAGTACTCGAAGAGGAATGCAATATCGCTGGACGTGTCCATTTTATTCGATCATCTGGCACCAAATTGATCTCTTACGATCTTCGTGGGGAAGGTGTTAAGATACAAGTACTAGCCAATGCAAAGTTTTATCAAGACGAGAACGCATTTGCGGAGGACACTGCAAAGATTAAGAGGGGCGACATTATAGGTGTTTTAGGCCGTCCCGCAAAGAGCAAGAAGGGCGAATTCTCAATTATACCAAAAAGTATTGTCCTGCTGAGTCCATGTTTGCACATGTTACCTCATCTCTCTTATGGCTTAAAAGAAAAAGTAAGGAAATAACAATTTGCGACAAAGTGTGAATGAATCTTTGAAATATAAAGGGCGGATTAAAGTCGATCTTTTAAATATATGTTAAATATATATTAGAAAAAGAGATTGTGTGTCTGCATATAATAATTTTAATGTAAACAAAAATTACTACATTTAATGTATAATATATATATATGTATATATAGAACGTATTAGGGGAGGAAAGGATAATAATGTCCACTTAAGAAAATTTATTATCTTCATGTTAAATTGGTTTCTCTCATCGAATGTATTTTTTGTTGTAGTTACTCATATAATACTATTATTTTAGATAAAATTTATATGTGAAGTAAAACATTAAATAAGAAGCAAAAAATACGCATCATACTTAGAATTTTTTTAATTGAGATGAGATGGGTCCGACTTGCTGAGCGCCGTAATCTCGTTCTCTCCTGTATATTTCTATACATTATATATAGAAATCAAAGAACATATTTATTTATAATTCAGGAAACAAGATTCAGACAGCGATATTTGGATCTCATATTGAACGACAGGGTTCGACAAATTTTCTACTTGCGTGCGAGGATAATCTCTTACGTGCGAAGATTTCTAGATGAAATGGGTTTTTTGGAGGTCGAAACTCCCATGATGAACATTATACCCGGAGGTGCAACCGCGAAACCTTTCATCACGCATCACAACGAACTCAACATGGATTTATACATGAGGATCGCTCCGGAATTATATCACAAGGTAACGAATTTATGGCGTTTCTATAAATGTAAAAAATTCATTTTTCGAGCGAAATAAATTAAAATTGTTTTGTAAATGTTTAACAGATGTTGGTCGTTGGTGGGATTGACAGAGTGTACGAAATTGGTAGACAATTCAGGAACGAGGGTATCGACATGACGCACAATCCCGAGTTTACTACCTGTGAATTTTATATGGCGTACGCGGACTATAATGATTTAATGAGCATCACGGAAACTATGATGTCCGGCATGGTAATGTCCTTATTCGGCACGTATAAGATAAAGTATCATCCCGACGGACCGGACGGTGAAGAGGTTGAGATCGACTTTACTCCGCCCTTTAAGCGCATATCTATGATGAAAACTTTAGAGGAGATTCTTAAAATCAAGTTACCACAAGCTAACGAGCTCAACACGCCAGAGGCGAACAAAATTCTCAGAGATCTTTGTGCGCAACACGAAATTGAATGTTCTCCTCCGAAAACATCAGCAAGGCTGTTAGACAAGGTAAAATATAGATTAAACGTAATATAACGTCTCGATATATTCATTCTTTCGCTTTGAAAAAAATAAAAATTGTAGAAAATTAAAGATAAAATAGATATGAAACTAATTTATTAAATTAATACTTGTGTATCTTTCACGCGCACTAGTATTATTTATCTTAAATTTATGGTTTTTATAACAGCTTGTTGGAGAATTTATTGAGGAAAAGTGTATTAATCCCACTTATATCATTGATCATCCGCAAGTAATGTCACCATTAGCAAAATGGCATCGTTCTGAAAAAGGACTTACAGAACGATTCGAGTTATTCGTCATGAAAAAGGAAATTTGTAACGCGTACACTGAATTGAACGATCCAGTGGTTCAGAGAGAAAGGTGAATATGTAAAAAAAATAGGTTTGTCACAATAGTTTGAAATATTATTGCAGAAAAATTTGGAAATGTTAAGCGAACGCGGTAATTAAATTGTTAAAGTTTTCATCAAATGTGTATTATAAGTTAACGAATGTTTCAAACTTAGATTCGAGCAACAGGCTAAGGATAAAGCAGCCGGCGACGAAGAAGCCCAACAAGTCGACGAGAATTTCTGCACCGCTTTGGAATACGGTTTGCCGCCAACGGCTGGTTGGGGCATGGGTATCGATCGATTGACAATGTTCCTCACTGATACAAATAATATTAAAGTAAGTAATTTGTTAAATATTCATATCATGAATGAAATATCTATTCCACTTATACGAAGAAAGTTTTTTGGAAAGATTTTTTGAATCGTTATCAATGTTTTAATTTGACTTTGAAAATTACTAAACTTTTTTATAGGAAGTATTGTTCTTCCCTTTGATGAAGCCGGATGATCCAAATAAGAACAAAGAAGATGATAAAACAAGCGAAAATGGAGAAAAATAGAACAGACAATAATTTAAAAAATAAACTAAAAAACTATACTAATTATTTAAAACTTCAATTTTTTCTTTGGTAATAAAACTTTTGATGTTTTTTATTTGACGAAAAGTGGAAATTATTTATGTATATTTAAATAGACAAATTTAATTAGAACATAAAAATTGAATAAAACTAATTATCTTCTTTTGTATATTTATTTGACACCCGATTACAACACATCCATTACAACAAAATTATATTATGTTCACAAAACCGCAAGAAAATATCATCATGTTGTGTATATTTTACTTAATGAGTTTTTATTTATTTATTTCCTCATCTGTTCTTTATATTACTATATAGTACATAATATATATTATATCAAGATATACAGTTCAAGAGTACATTATTCGAAACGCACTGTAGACATCATTTGCTCTGATCAACAATCTACAGCATTGGATTTACATGTAACTTGTTCTATGAATTTTGAAGGATATAAATTTTCATTAGGGAAACTATTATAAAAAAAAGCCAACCTGTCTAAACTTTTCCCAACATGATTTCTGTTCTGATGGATTTTATATTCAGGAAGGATGCGACAGTCACTACGGTAAACACTGGCAATATGTATGCATTAACAGAATAATATTTATGTAATGTGTGTATATTTTTCAGAACAAGCTGAAGAACACTGACTCTTAATAAGTACTTGCATATTTGCTGGCAGCATATTTATATTGTCCGATATTCACTTACAGAATCATTTTTTATAACTTAGTTTTAATTATTATATATAATAACACAACAGTTCTGAGACAAAGCTTACATCTAATTTGTCGCAATATTAGTTTGTCGATAGTTGCATTGTATATTTTGTTTGTTTAAAATTTATTTAAACAGCCTTAAAATTTCATCGCATGTTTAGTGCAAAATGTAACTGAAATCTATTTGTCTAATAATAGGAAGATCTCACATACACACAATTATAAATGTTAATATCACAAGAGATGCAGGCGTCTACTCTTTTTAATATTAAGTGCGCTGTTATCTCGACTGCCATTAAATCCCATATGATCCATAAGCAGCATATAGTTTACACTATAAACGAAGTTTTACAATCACATATTTAATACTAAATATGCGATGAAAATGTGGTCTATTGGATGTACTATTTTAGAATTTAAGAGTTACATTAGCAGTCGAAGTTCTTTTATATACATAGGTCGAAATTTTAATGCTTAAATTTATCAAGATGTTTCTATTGACAGTATATTGATATGTATTCTGCATTTAACTACTTGTAAACAAGAGAAATTCTAAAGAGTGTGCGTCACTATTAATAGATTAATCTTTTGATACTGTAAATAATAATCGTACTTATAGATCAAAATAATTCTTGTTTTTTTTTCTCTTTTTTAAAACATGGTCTTTTAATTTTAAAAACTTAGAGGGATTTCTGTTTTATATACTTATCCTTTAATAATTATTGTATACATTTAAAGAATTTCTCTTACAAACATTAATGATCATCACAATAATTGTAAAGATTAGAAATATAAAATCTCGTTGGAAGATTGAAAATATTTTACTGGCAGCTTTTCAGAGAATACTTCTGTATGTCAATACAAGTATTTTTATATCTTCTGGAAATTTATCAATTTTTTAATATGAAAAAATAATCTATTGGTAAAAATATGTGTTGGAAGTTGTGTGAAACACATGAACAATTCAATGATAAAATATGAAGACACATTTGCAACATAAAACAAAATCAAAGTCTAAAAATAGACTTTTATCAACTTTCCTCATTCTGAACATATTTTGTAACAGAATTATAATGAGCACCCAACTCATACATATGACGATGATAAGTTACTGTTATCTTTTTATCATTGTTGTAGTCATCCCCAACAATGTATGGAGATCCTGTAGCCTGTATGACCTCAATTGGACATTTTAGTATACGTGACAATACCTGTAACTGTAAAAACGAATTTAGAAAGAATATGTACCTCTCAAATAGTTATTATTTTAAAGAAAAAAAGTTTATGGAAGTTTATGCTGTATCTTTACCTCAACAGCACCACCCCAAGCACTGGTTTCAGCTATATCATTGCAGTATTTTTCATATTCTTCAGGTGTTAAGAGATTATCAGAATTGGGATTGGAGAGAAATGGTAAAAAGTCATTCATGTTTTTTCTCAAATAATCAGCAGTCTTTGTTCTAAGATCATGTAAGCCAAGAGGTGTCTCTCCATTTATTTTAAGTTGGTGAGCAACTGCATTGTATAAGCTACAAATAAAATCAGGTTTTTGTAACTTTAAAGACAAAAAAACATTTTACATTATATATCTGTTATCATACTGTATGCTATGGTACACAGTATACAGTACTTTTAATTGTTACTAATAAAAAAGATATAGACATGCACATATCTACTGAAAAAAATACTAATAATAAAATCTATATACCAATGACCGTCACTAGGAATTTCATAAATTATTAAGTCACGATCTGACAGAATCTTCTTTATAGCTTCAATCTCAACATTTCTCTTTCCAAAAACATTAAGTGTTTCTTGTTCAATAATCCTTTGATTACGTTCTTTCTCTGCAATTGCTTTCTTCTCCCTTCTCTTCTGTGCCTTAGATGTCCTATGTGTAGACTGTTCTGTGCAATTGTTGTCCTTATTGACTTCTTCAATTATTTGTATGGGCTCTGTTTGTTCTTCACTTGTTAGAGTAATATGAGCCAATTTCCATGTGTTCAATTCTTCTGCTTGCTGTTTTTCTAGACTTTCTTCTAGATGTCCTATCTCTTCAGAAATGTCTTTCTTTTTCTTCTTATCACCTTTGCAAATTGACTTCTTTAACGTTTGTATTTGGGCTGCGAGTAAAAACAAAACTCCTAATCAATAAGTGTGTAATTTTTTTTCACTATTATTATGTAATAATTGTAACCTTGTCACAAGTGGTCAAATCCTTAAAACCTCATTTAATTAGATTATTATTGATTTCTCTTAACATCAAGAATAAAAATTTTTGATTATTAATTACCTTGCAGTTCTTTTCGTTCTTTTTTGTGCTTTTGTAATAAATCTTCTTTAGTCAATGTTACATCTGCCATATTAAGTTAAATAAATTTATAACTTATTGTAAAACTTTTGCTACTCTATAAATTCAATATTGACTTTTGCATGTAAAATCACATAGAATTGCATCAAACTGCACAGAACTACACATTGCATAAACGAAACACCATAATAATATGTACAACTACACCTCTGACTAACCATGAACTCGTTTACTATATTTGGTTTGGTTTGGTACAGATGTGGCTCAGTAGACCATAAAGGTCAGTCCATACGCCATTTTAAGCAGAGAGAAGACTGAAGGTATGTATGTACCTTTTCATATACGCAGCTTAGACCATATATACTTATAGACACGGCTTCAGACAACTATCTTGAAGCAAAGGGTGTGTTTAGCCGAAGCTAGCGCTACGTAGCGCTACGTAGCGGCTTCATGTAGCAGTTGCAATTGCTGCGTTACTTCTGCTGGACAGTATTGCTACGCGCAGCGCTTTTTGTAAGCGCAAATACGTTTGTATACAAATCGCCG